TATTTCAATCCTTAACTCTTTTTTCCTATATGTAACCCGTTATTGCTATCCTTAACCCTTATTCCTATATCTACCTCCTTATTTGTAGCTCTGACTCATTATTTCTATGCTTAACCCCTTATTGTGCTTTTTAACGCATTCTTCCTGTGTCTAACCCCTGATTTATATGCCTAATCCGTTTTGTCTATCTAATCCTTTATTTCTATATTAACTCGTATATCTGTATCTAACCCTTATGTGTATGTCAAACTCCTTGAATCTATATCTGACTACGGTATTTTTGAGAGGTACTGTGAAGCTCTTTCTGCCGCGATACCTGCTCTCTTAAAAAGGGCGTCATAAGGAACTACTCAAAATTCTAGCGAAGATGCTGAACTTTTTAAGGTTCACTTCCTTCATTATTAAATCCCCAAAGGTTGCAGATAATTTTAGAAACTATTCCAAGTAAAAAATGATCCAAAGCCTTTAGAATAGTTCTATCTGGCACCTTTTTTTTTTAATGCTGAACTCTTTTTACAATGATGGTTTTAGTACAAGTTGCTTGAACTACACTAAAAAAAGATGCCAAAAACATCCTTTGGTGTTTCTGGGCACTTTATTATATCTTTAGACTATGATACAAAGTCACGAAACCTCATTAAAAGTTTCGCAATCTCATATTTCATACAAAAACTCTTCCAGGTTCCGTAGCAGAAAGAGCTTCGTAGTGTACCTCTCGAACGTACTGTAGTCAGCTATAGATTCAGGGCGTTTGACATAGACATTAGGGATTAAATACAGATATAGGGGTTAATGCAGAAATAAAGGATTAGACAAAGAGAAAGCAAATTAGGTAAATAAAGGAGGGGTTAGATATAGGAATAAGGGGCTACAGATAGAAATAAGAGGTTAAGCATAGAAATAAGGGGTTAGATATAGAATTAAGAGGTTAGATACAGTAATAAGGGGTCATATATAAGAATAAGGAGTCAGACATAGAATTAATCAACAGTACTAGACCAAGCGTGTTGGATGGACTGCTTTGTACGAGGGTAGAACTATTTTTAAAAGAAGAAGAAACAAGTTCGAGATACAACCATATTTTACTAAATCCATAAGGGGTTCAGAAAATTGTACCCAAATCTAGAACCCTGCAAAGTTTAGTATGACACCTTTTTTAACAGAGTGGATGAGTTTTCATATGAAATATGAGATTGCAAAATTTTAATGGGGTTTCGTGGCTTTTTGCCATAGTCTAAAGATATAATAAAGTGCCCAGAAACCCCAAAGGATTCTTTTGGCATCTTTTTTTAGTGTAGTTCAAGTGACTTGCGCTAAAATCACCTTTGTAATAAATGTGGAAACTTCGGACTTAAGTCCGAGAGTTATGTGCACTTCAAAAAGTGATTGAGGCAAATCAGTCATCCTAGAATGCGTGGATATACAAATTAGCTTGGCAAACCTTTTCTATAAACAATTGAATTCTATTGACTACTGCTCAACCAATAGGATTTGGGGGCGAATACAGCTCAGATTTGAACTCTTCGCCTTAATTTACCCTCAGAAAGTCGTTCTTTCTATAACTTGATTTCTATTGGTCAGTGCTCAACCAATAGGGCATCGAAACAAGTGGAGTACAGATTCGAGTTCTCCACTCCAGAAAACCTACAAGCATCACCTCTTATCGAAAGATAGTGCTCGAATTATGTCTCAGTTAGAGCGTGGACAAGAACAGAACCGACTTCCGTTTATTTATCTTTGCAATAGGTGAGCTAGCCTTCTTGTTTCTTTATGTTTTATATACCATTTTGTAGCTCGTAAAATTCTCTATCGAATGGTATATAATAGTTGGGGTTTTGTTTGAGTATGATAGGAAAAGTTTTTTACGAAAGCGGGGATGGGTCGATTTTCGCATAGGAAGCCATAGAAAAAAAGGAGTATTTTTGCAATAACTCAGGAATGGCTCGCCAATTCTTCTCATCTTCGAACTCGACCGAGACATTGTTATGACTGAACTGTGTAAAAATTTCATCGCGATTGGACTCTCCTTTCAAAAGTTATCGTGTAAACGAACGGCCAGCCGGACACACTGGCCGATTCTAGAGTGTACTCACTTTTTGAGTACACAAAAAGAGTTCAACATTATAAAAAAATGGGTACCAGATAGAACTATTCTAAAGGCTTCGAACCATTTTGTGAAACATGATCTGAAAAGGAGTGTGGAGGTATAAGATAAAAACGTGAGCCTCTCCTCCAGACCCGCCCCGCAGACCGTGACAGACATGATGGGAAATCACCTAGACCATCACAGAGTGTGACAGACACCTTAGCAACGGCGCCTTCTCTGATGACAGGTTGATCGGGAATGCAAATAAAAAGGAGGGCAATAGCACTCTCCCCGTTTTTTAGATTCATTTACGCGGCGGCCTTCTAGTAACATTTGCTACTCTCGTTGAGGAATCGAAAAATTCAGTCGCAAACATGAAGCTCTCTCTATGCTCTTTTTCGAGATATTGTTGATTCTGCCACTTATTAGAAATTTAATCAACATGAAGATCAATAACTTCATCGTGTTTCACATTTTAATTCTGAAAGGATTGCCCCAAAAGCTGTTTTACTTGGAATGGTTCTTAGAATTATCTGGGACCTTTGATGATTTGGTAATGAAGGAAGTGAACCTTAAACAGTTCAGCATCTTCGCTAGAACTCTGAGTGGTTCCTTATGAAACTTTTTTTAAAGTTAGGATGCATACCACCTTTTTCATCTTCCGGAACTGTAAATAGCAAGTCAGTGATGTACGCCTGAATTTGCCTGATTTTTCAATTTGCTTGAAACTTTTCATCTACCCACAAAAAGTTTTGAATAATTGCCGAATTCCAGTTCGAAAATAACTGAAATTTTTCAAGAAACCATAGATACTTCAACCGACAAACCAAAGTCAAAGTTTATCTGAGTTTCAATTCGATTTCGAATTGAGGCATTAATGTAGAGAATACATCCTATTGCGCGATGTTGCACATTGCTGGAATCAGTTCCGCCCCGGAATCGATTCCATCCAATTCCGCCATTCCGCTCACACAGACCTCAATCCGATTCCGGAATCCAATCAACCATTTCCCAACAATTCCGGAATCATTTTCAATAATACCATCTAATTCCGGAACTCCGGGAGTTTCATCAAGCAGGAATCGCAGTGAAGTAGCCAGAATTGCATGAAATTCCATATAATTCCGTTATATTCCGGAATCATTTATCCGTTGCATTAATACCATCGCTCACTTCTAGTGTTTGCATGCAATTCCCAAACGGAATTCCGGGAATCGCTTAAAGGAGAAATTGGACGGAATTAGACGGCATTGCATGCAATTTCATGTAATTCCGTTCGATTCCGGAATCATTTATTCGTTGCATTAATACCATAGCTCACTTGTAGTGTATGCATGCAATTCCCAAACGGAATTCCGGGAATCACTTGAAGGAGGAATTGAAGGGAATCAGAAGGAGTTGCATGCAATTCCATGTGATTACTACCGATTCCGGTTTCATTCAATTCCGGAATTCCGTTCCGGAATTGGATCGTCATCAGTTTCATAAGAGATGTTAGAGTAATGCTAGACAGCAATTCCGGAATTCCTAGGAATTGGTTACAATTCCTAGGAATTCCGACCGATTCCGCTTTGATTCGATTCCGGAATTCCGTTCGGGAATTGGATCGTCATTAGTTTCATAAGAGATGTTAGAGTAATGCTAGAGATAGAAATTCCGGAATTCCTAGGAATTGCTTTAAATTTCTAGTAATTCCTACCGATTCTGGTTTCGTTCGTTTCGAGAATGCGGTTCCGGAATTGGATCATCATTGGATCGATAAGGGAAGATGGAATCATACTGGATACAGGAATTCTGGAATTCCTAGGAATTGCTTGCAATTCCTAGTAATTCCTACCGATTCCGATTTCATTCGATTCCGGAATTAGAGGAAGTTGTGAGGAGTTCCTTGTATTTGCTGGAATGGATTCCGGAATTCCTAGAAACTGTTAGAATGGATTCCGGAATTGAATGTTGTGCAGCGTGGATGTGTTTTCGGAAACGTTGGAATCGATTCCTGGGCGGAACCGATTCCGCAATGTGCAACATCGCGGAATAGGATGACTGCTCAATAATCGTAAGTGTAGATCGCATCAGTTGAAATAAAAGGTTGGGAGTGTAACCTAGGTTCTTCGGAAGATGACTTGGTGTCGGAAAGAGTCAGGAGTGCAAAAACAGCCTTTAAAACAACAAAGCTATTATCCTCTTCTTGTTACTCTGATGAACGTCAGAGTCCAAAAATCGGGAAAATCCTGCTTCATCTTTGACATTCATAAATGATCACATACTGACCCCTACGGAAACTTACGGACCTGATCCACTAAAGGAACATTTTATGTGCTCAGGGTCTTCGAATATCAAGGAAGCGAAAGTCCTGTGCATAAAAGGCTTACCTCCGCACTCAATCTCACTCTGATGCTGCGCCTTGTGTGAGTACTTCCGCTCTCACTCACACCGGCATGTTGTACCTAGTGTGTTTGCTGCGTCTTTTATGAGTTCTGCTGTCTTCCTCCTAACTCACTTTATCTTTGGCTATTTAGCTACTCTCGCATGGGTGTCTCAATTCGAGCTAGAATCATAATTCAGATGTAATTGAGCTTTGGCTGACTGATTTTTCTCTTCAGTGAATTCTTGTTTCAAGTTTTTTTCATTTATTTTCGAAATAGTGTTTAGCTCTCAAAGTTCCAATTATATTCGAACTCGAATTAGACAACTCATGAAAATGTTTGACAATACAAGCGAAGTGAAATCTGTTCGTAAGCTCTGTGTGGGTTAGGATAACCGCAACGTTGTTCTAATTCGCCTTGCGAATCGAAACTTTAGACGGCCAGGTTATTAGCAGAGCTAGTGTCTTTGAAATTCGTGTTTAGTGATTTAAAGAATAGTGATCAATTCTGATATTTTGTTTTGTTCCATATAAATCAGCGAGCTTTCTATGGCTGATGCAATAGATCGAACCGATTCTGCTGCGTATAGTTGTTCAGCGTCTTCAAAAGATGCTGCTACGCCATCACCAACCTACTTATCACCTGCTGCTCTGCACATACCAGAGAATATTGTTGCATATCTGCAATTGAAAGATAAAGATTCTGCTAAGAAAGATCAAATTATTTCCGATTTGCTTCGTAATGGTCGTCAAGCTCTATTCAAGTATCGAAATGAAGTACCGTCAGAAATTTTTTCTGCTGAGCAAAATTATTCAACATCAGAAGAGGATACTCTTCTAATGCGATTGATCAAGCAAAGCCATTGGGAGACATGGGAAATATACCTATTGAATCACCAGATTATCCTCAGCTATATCAATAAAGTTAAAGAGGAAAATCTTGATCATTTTAATAGTGTTCTAACACGGATAGCTGAATATGGAATCCCGTGTACAACTTCATCCTCAATTATACTCTGTGTTGTTCTGCTCATGCTATTTGAAAGTATTGAAGATGAGTGTCTGATAAAATCACAGACGTTCAGTGATCTTTGGAATTATATAACAAGAGAAGGTATTCAAAGTATTAAAACATTTTCTGATTTTATTGCTGAAGAAGAAAGAGAAAATCAAATCACCGATGAACAGTCACCACTCTATTTAGCATTAAGGATTTATAATGAAGAAGAAATACCAAAGCTTTTAAAACAATATCGAATTGCTGACACAAGAAATGTTTATAGTTTAGCAGCTGATAATGTCACAAAAAATGGTCTGTTAAAAGGGATTGAATCAGTTCAAAAGAAAATTCCAAAGAAAAAATATGATCTCTTGATGGAAGCAGCAATTAGAATTACAAGTGAAAAGCCACCACTCGTTACCACTGAAACGCCATCACCTGGAGCAGTAGCAGGATTAAGTGCGAGAAAAAAGATTGCATTTTAAGTTTCTCGTGTCTGCTTCTTTTCTCTATATTTTGCAGTTGATCAGCAGCTAAGCAATAACCCACGAGAACGTCTGCTAACTTCTATGGTAGGTAATTCTTAGAAATTCAAATGAAAACGTGACACTTATCATTTATTTACTTCTTCTTAGAGCATTTGCCAGTGGAGATATCGCAGCAAGTTTGGCAGAGGAAAAATGTTCGGGGAGACTATCAGTGGCGTAAGTGTTTCAGAAGTTCGCGTACTTTATGAGGGCTCAAACTATTTCGGATTCGGTCGATGTTTCTAAAACTTTGTTAGTCTGAAAAGACGAGAGCCTGTCCTGAATTCTTTTGCTCATTGTTCTCTTAAAGTAATGTAATACAAGGACGAATCAGTCAATAGCGTAATCAGAAAAACGAGGCTGGTTAGGCTGAGATTTGAAGTAATGTTGAAGCTGCCACTCTGACACAGTGTCAAGTTAGAGTGTGGGTGAGGATGTGGATGTGAGTGTAGGTATGGGTGTCGGTGTGGGTGTCAAGAGAGGGTTCATACACTGAAAAAAAGAGTAGAATGATAAACTTTTTTTAGGTTTATCAGGATGCAACGGATAATATACCCTTTTTTACCGTTTATCAGAATGTGCTAAACCCTTTGATCTATCCTGAAAAATTGTGCAAAAAAGTGGTTTATCAACCTAAAATACCCTTTATAAAAGGTTTATCAAAACGTTGATAGGATTGAAAAAGCTTGCTAACGCAACCCCTTTGGGGCTGGAATGTGGAACTCACATATCTCCTTTGGTTTCATTCTACTAATGACAAAATACCCAATATTGAAAATCTCCAAAAGATAATCGATTATTAGAAAATGCTATGTTTTTCTCTCTCAATTTCGAACAGAATTTTTTTTACGAAGTTGCCGAGGTCTGTAATGGGGGGTTGTCTGTAATGGTAGCCTATATTGCTATGGTCTGTAATGGAGAGGTGTTTGTAATTGGGGGTATGTCTGTAATGAGGGGTGCCTGTAATGGGGGGTGTCTGTAATGGGGGAGTCTGTAATGGGGAGATGTCTGTAATGGGGGATATATCTGTAATGTTCTCTTTCCCGTTGCTATGTGTCTGTAATGGGTTGGGGGAGCGGCCAAACCTCGAACTGAAAATTTACACTCACTATTTTCTTCGAAAACATACGTGAGTTCCACAAAATGGTGATATCAACCTAAAATACCCTTTATAAAAGGTTTATCAAAATGTTGATAGGATTGAAAAATGGTGAAAGGGTATATTATCCGTTGCATTCTGTTAAACCCTTTCAAAGGGTAGATCAAATTAAAAAACCCATTTATTTCAATATAGATATCGGTTAATAAACGGGTAAATCATAACGAAATACCCTTGCATTCCCTTTCATATAGCTGATAGAAAGCGTTTAGTAACTTCATCAACTCGAATGCGGTATGTCAATCGGTAGTTCAAAAGGTTGATCAGTTTCATCAACTATAGAAAGGTAGATTAATGGGTAGTTCAGAGGGTTGATTAGTTCCATCAACTATAAAGAGGTCGATCAAAGGATATTTCACAAGGTTAATCAGTCCCATCAACTGTACAAAGGTAGATCAATGGGTACTTCAGAAGGTTGATTAGTTTCATCAACTATAGGAAGGTTGATCAAAGGGTAGTTCACAAAGTTGATCAATCTCATCAACTACACCATAAACAAATGAGAAGATAATAAACCCGTAAAACGTTTATGAAAGGGTAGTTAGAAGGGTTTGCAGGTACTCTCAACGGCATCCAGAGTCTCAGAAAAGCAGGAATAAGCGCCTCGGAGAGGACTACTAATGGTTGCAAGCGCTAGGAGTACTAGTTTAGCATTCGCATTGCATTAAAGTAATGCTAACGCTAATACTTTTTTTTATGGGTCCGAAGACAAAAGTATTGCAATTTGTATTGACTGATATCATGCTGAAGCGGAGCCAGTATCCCTAAATTCAATGCATTTTGTGTTATAATTTTAATGCAAAAGCGTTGTAGCTCCTATTAAATTGATGCAACATGGTGTTAACTTAGTAGAAGCTAAATGCTTTTGCATCAACATTATAACACAAAACGTATTAAACTTAGTCAGAGATACCGGCTCCATTTCATCATGATAAAGGCCAATACAAATTGACAAGTAACGTTCATCGACATTGAATGTCGATCCACTTGGCCCTAGACTGACGGAATGATGACAGTGATGTCCTTATATTTTTAAATAAAAATGAATTCTGTATAATGATGAGTTTAGGAGAAATTATTAATCTTTGTAACATGTTCTATATTATATACTATAGATATATACAAATACTTTAGATAAAATATTGAAAGATGCTAATGTATATGATAAAGTTTATGCTTTAGTTAATTATAACGACTAAAAATTGTGATCTATGCCAAAGTAATGGACGTTTCTAATACGGTTTTGGCCAATTGTGACACAGACATGCTCATTTGATCCATAAGAATGGTCAACTGTGCCATAGAAATTATTGATTGTGCCGTGGAAATGGCTAACTGAACCACAGAAACGGTCATTTGTATAATGAAAATGGCCAATTGTGTCAAATAAATGGTAACTTGTACCATGACCATGGTACTTTGTACCATGACCATGGTACTTTGTACCATGACCATGGTACTTTGTACCATGATAATGGTCACTTGTACCATCACTATGGTACTTTGTACCACAAAAATCGTCATTTGTACCAAGTGTTATAGACAGACAGACACAGGTGAATTTCCGTTTCTAGACCCTAGTCTTTCAGGCTAGGGAAAATACTTTTGTCTTAGGATCCATAAAAAAAGTATTAGTGTTAGCATTACTTTAATGCAATGCGAATGCTAAACCAGCACTCCTAGCGTTTGGAACCATTAGTAGTCCTCTCCGAAGCGCCTTTTCCTGCTTTTTTGAGACTCTTGATATCGTTGAGAGTACCTGCAAACCCTTCTAAACGCCATTCGAAGAACCCTTTTGTGCCTTTGAGAATATTAAGAAATAAAGTATTATTCTTTGAACTATTATAATGCAATACTGATTCTAAACCAGTATCCCTAGCAAACGCTTATAAACAGTTACTGAAGGCACACATGAACATAATCAAAACACTACAATTACTGACGAAGGTTGGACAGAATGTTTCGTATCTTCAGAGAAAATAGGAGAGAATATCTGACAGACACATATAGCGTAAGACGCGCTACAAGACAAAAGAAAGCTGATGCGCTTCAAAAATTTTTCCAAACACTACTATGAAAAGGCGATGTGGAACTAGAACCTGATTCAATGCTTTCATTCATATTTATCCATGACATGACCTGACAAGGCTACATTCGAAAATAACCAAAAATAATCAAAATTTTAACCAGCTATTTCATTTCTTTACATTATTTGGAGCTTCCAAACTGTTTGGATCCAAAGACGAAGATGGAAAAAGATTTAACCAAAACAATCTCATACTATTCCTCACAAACATATTAAATAAAGATAAGAATATCTAACTGGGAAAAGAAAAAAGCATAAAGTGAAAATACTTACGGACACCAAGAGTAGTGGCATCATCATCTTATTTCGTTGATAGAAGGCTTCAATAGATATTATTTTTCTTACTTAATGATAGAGAAAACGATGCTCTATTTTTCTGTGACATTTGAACATCTTTCACTTGAAATCATAATAATAAAATTTGGACAAGAGCTGTTTTTGTGTATAGCGTCAATAATATGAGTGGCAGATTATGTAGCCACACTTTGCATTTTTTTTCCATTCCAGTGTTCACTCACTTTGTAGGTCTTATTAAAAAAGAAAATATACCATTAAATGTAGTGTGAATAGCTCTACAGTTTTTAAATAACAGCCTATTTTATACTTTAGATAGGAAACAAAAAATGTCTCTTCGTATGAGAAAAGATGATTCTTTTCGAGATAGTCGGATAGAATTTTACTTTTTTTGGAACTAAAATTCAGCAATTAAAATAAGTGAGCTTACAAAGATTTTAACGCTTTTCATGCTCCATCTTTTGATGTATTGTATTTTAAATAAAAGATATAAGGTGATAAAACGATGAAATAAGAAAAAGTCAACTCATTTCGTAGCAAACAAAATATTGTTTTAGATTGATCGAAAACTGATTGCTCAACATTTTGCTTATCATGAGAACAAAAAGTGCAACTATAAAATAAACCGTCCTATCTAAATTTCAGAGCTTTTCATGCTTCATCTAATGGTATATTTTAGTTTTTCGGCAGAACCTATTAAGTGATTAAAAATTAGAATGCAAAGCATGTCCATTTACCTGGCCTCACATGTTGGCGAAGTTGTACACAAAACAGTTCTTATTGAAATGTTATTATGATGGTATTAATTGAAAACTGACTAATAACACAGAAAAATAGAGCACCGTTTTCTCTCTCACTACATAAAAAAGAAAATCTATTCAAGCTTTCTATCAAAAAAATAAGATGATAACGCCGCTACTTTTGGTGTGCCCTAACGGTCTCATACTGTTTCTCACAATAGATTCTTAGTCAAGACTAGAAATCACGAAATATAGAAAGAAAAAGCCGTAAGCAGATTATATTTTAGACTAAATTCTTGGAAAGAGATGAAGTGACTACTGCAACAGATCAAATCCGAAAAAAGAAAAAATACACTAACCTGTTTAATTGTGTTGTTTTTCGTGGTATATTCCAATATTGTTTTAACATCACAAGCATTTGATGTTCCATTCAAACCATTTTTGTGTCAAATCATCAATTAACTTGTGTTTCACGTAATTTTGTTGGCATCAATCCGTTGACTGAACGGGTTCATACGAACTGGAGATGGAGAAAAAGGATCTGTCTCGCTGTTTCCGCAAAATCTAAACTTTGTGATAAAATGAATGAATATAGTGAAGAATTAATATATGTTTAAAGCAAAGAGATAGAGTACTCAGAAGAATCAAAAAGACTTAACCAGAACATTTAATTGACTTT